CATCTCTAATGCTCCTCTGATTACTCCACTTAAGATGTTACAGTAATATAGACCTTGACAAGTATCGGGAAGCTCAACAAAGTCTACCAAGGGGTTGTCCTCCAAAATCAAACTGCAAGTTGTTCCCTCAGCATCCCAGTTGCCCACAGTTGCTGTGACACCGAGGAACATTTTGAGACCAACCTGTTCATTACGAGCAGCAAGAAATCATGTTTCTTAAATCAAGAATTTCAGCAGACTTTTAAAAAGGAAGATTAACTAAGAGTGTACTATAAAGAAAATGAACTTGAGAATATGATGGGAAGTTATAGGCTGAGGTGCTCAGCTAAACATATGACATAGAAACAACATGATATTCTTTTTCCTGTTTTTTTTGTAAGTAGAACAACTGGATATTCTGCTCACTACCATGAATACTGGCAGTGAAACTACAATATACTCTGCTCAACCCAGAAATCAACTAGGAGGTTTATTCCCAACTTACTCAAACATCCGAAAGACAAACTTCCCCACATAACGAAGGGAAGAGGAGCTAGAGATAGAAGCAATTACTACCTCCTGCTGCATACTTTATGTATGTATGTATGTATGTATGTCTGTAGACATGCACACCGTCAATCTTCTATTGCAAACCAAAGTGTAAAGGGAACGTTGCTGGTTACACACATAGTAATACATTTGGAATGTATTGAGGTCCAGAAAACTTATCCAGCCTTATTAGGCGTTCACTATGTCAAGAATTAGCTAGGAATAAAATTTATCTAAAAATCCATCATTATCATATCCTAGGGGTAACAACAATCCCTCTAAACAAGGGGAAAAGAACGACCAGCCTTTCTCTCATTTTCTATTTACCCTATCTCCATCTATTCTCTTCTTCTTCTACTTCTTCTTCTGTAGAACCCTAGAGAAAATGCGTGACCCTCCCACACCCCCTCTAGGAAACCCTCCCCTCAGATCGTCTCCATCCCTCCCCCCTCCCTTGCTCTCATAGCTTTTTACATTTGTTCTGGTTAATTATATTTCTCAACTTTGAAAAGAATGAAGAAAAATGTTGGCACAAGTCTTTCTCTTCAAAAGGAAAAAAAACATCGTGCTATGCTGTGTGTTTACATCTTCTTTGCTAATCTGATCATCTCTTTGCTTCTGCACCATATAGATACTTGCAAAAGTGAAGATCTATTTTTTGTACAATTTAGATGTCCTGTTATGCATTTTCTTTTCACTTCACGTACCACTTACATGACCCCCTTTGATAGAGGAAATAAAGAAGAGGTTATTCAGTTGTATAGAGACTCCAAGTGGGTACAAACAACATGACCAAATTTTCTCTATACTTTCTTGTTCAGGTCTGACTGCTAAAAGACTATTTTGAGTATAATGATATTTTGGCATGAAGCATCATAGTGCAGCTTCCAGAACTAGATGCATTGTGTTCAAACTTTTGTCTCAATCTTATTTCAATTCAATCTACTGCCACATTAACCTCCAACACGATTGTAAAATTGATACATCCATATTATTCCTTCTGCTTTGTATTGGCTACTGGCACGCGTAGGATTTCAGAACTACTATTCAAAACAAAACTGGAACTCCGTTACTAAACCAACACACAATTAAATGAAATGCAATTTGGAGGGGGAGAGAGACCTTGGCAATGACTTCAGCTGTTTCCTTGAAATCGATACACCTAGAGACGTTAGATTTTGCCAGAAACTCATCAATGAGCCGAATTCCAATGTTATAACCCCTGCAATTCAGTTAAACCTCTCAAAATTAGTTTATACTTCTTGGCCAATAAAATTAAATTGAATTGCCACTGATAATTCCAATCAATATCAATATCAGCGATACCTCAATCCTGGTTAGAGTCAGCTATATGAATCCCCGGGGTCCATTCAGAGGATTCATCATTATTACTCCGGTCGCAACTCCCCTCATTTATATGGACTTCGGATCACATAGGTGGAGTTCAACCGAAAATTCTATGAACATTAACAAAAGACTACTCCTCCATTTCAATTTATGTTATATTATTTCCTTATTAGTCCATTCCAAAATGACAGTTTTTTAAATTTTAAAATAATTTAATTTTAAACTAAGACGTTTTTATAACCACACAAATGTTAATGATATATTTAAGAGCGCAAGTTGAAAAAAAGCTTCCTTTTTTTTCTTTCTTAAACACTGTAGTGAGTCAATATAAGTCACATAAATTGGAACGGTGAGAAGAACTAGGCAAAGGATTTACATTTGATCAAGCTGTTTGTTGACCTCTTCGACCTCCTCCAGATCGGTAAGCAATTGCCTCACGATCGCACCGTACGTTAGGGTGAAAAGTTCAGCGTTCTGTTGAAAAAATCACAAAATTAATGTAACATTTATTACTAAATTCAACAAAAAATTAAATAAAATCGAGATTTTTAGAATACCACTCGTTCAACGTTAGCGAAAATGGCATCGCCGGATCTGGGAGCAACGGGAGCCATGTGAGCCTCGGAGATTTGCTTATTTTCCGATCGATTTATGTCTGAGCCAGCTTATAAGTTAAGACTGTAGAAGAAAATACTGATGCTTAGCAGTAAAAACAGGCTAGGCCCGATTAGATTAAAACCCGGGAACTAAGGCAGCGTTTGGCGGTAGATTTTCAAATTTGATTTGTAAAATCTGATTTGGGTAAAATTTAGTTTGAAGATGAAAAATTATTTGTACGTCAGTTTTCAAAATATGTTTCACTTTTTTTTTTGAAAAAATATAAAATATGATTTATACCCGCAAATTCTAAAAACTATCATAAATACCTCATAGTGACTTCATCAATAACATTCATTATCATTATTACAAAACATAAAACAATTTGATATAAAATTATCATTTTTATAATAAACTACATAATACATTATCAGATGATCGAGAAGATGATGCAGCATTGTTACAAAATAATGAATGATGGGTTCTTTAGAAAAATACAAAGTTTGGGACAATTTTTTAAAAAAAATGTAATAGTAATATTTTGGGAGGTTTTGAATTTTGAGAATTTGACAAAATATAAAATTTATGAACAAACATGTATTTACCAAAAATAAATTCAAAAAAATCTATGGTTCCTAAATCTCAGTTTTCTTTTTATGGTCGAGTTGACACGTGAAGAGAGTGTTTTTTTTTAAAAAATAAAATAAAATAAAACTTTCAAATTAGGAGAATTTATAATATTTTCACACTTCCCGTTCACTGTGACTCGAACCCAGGACATAACGGTCGTATGTAGGGGTATTTTTACTAACTTAGCAAGCATCACTTGTTTGGAGAGAGTGTTAAGAATTTGATGTTGCACACCATATTAAAAAGCGTTTAGGTTACACCACCGTAATGTAAATAATTTTTTATTTTACTAGATTATTCAAAGGATATTTATATATAAATTTCTTAATATAAGATAGATAATCTTCTACAATATATAAAGATGACTAGATAGTGTAAAAGTTTCAACCGTATATATAACTTAAATTTTTAAATTAATTAGGCATAACACTTGGATACACACTCAACGTTGACATAAATTGTCGGTAAACCATTTAATTTTCTCATATCTATTTATGTATTATGCCATTTGATTTTAATAAAGTGATAGTTATTTGAACAGAAATAAATTCATTTTTTTTTTTGAACGGATGACTAATATGAAAATCTAGGTAAATAATAAATTTGTGAACATTACGTTAAAAATGAAGAAATGTCACCATTGTAAAAGGAGGGTAGCATATAGGGTTGTGCATAATTTGATAAATATCGAATTAGCGTACCGAAATCGAAAATTTTGGTATTTGGTATTCGATATGGTATTTGGTTTAAGTTTTAAAAAATATTGGTATTAGGTATGATATTTGATATTTTAAAATGAAATACCGAAATACCGATACCGTACCGAAATATATGATATATTACACAATACACATATTATTAATTATAACATAAATATAAAAATCTAAAATTTTACTTTCCTTTATTTTCTAAGTTTATCAAATAACTCTAAGCAAGTAACAAGACATTTCTAATGATCAAATTTATTCTTTTATGTACAGTTTTTTCTTTGGGTTGATATTTGCTAGTTTGGACAAACCTTTTGTCAATAAATATTTTTAGATTTGTACTTTTGAGTACTTTAATTTAGAATATTACAGTCTATGACTACATGCACTAGTTAGTATTCAAACCGAATAAATCAAAGTTACCAAACCGAATAAATCGAAACCGAAAGGAGAAACCGCACCATACCGAATTTAATTAGGTACGATATTGATATTGTATTTTAAAAAATCGAATACCAAAAATACCGAATTAAAATATCTAAATATCGTACAGTACCGACCGATAAATACTCTATAAGCATCATCATGTCACCATTCCTGCTTGGAAATAGATGTAATAATGTAATTCAAGGTGAAGATCATTGAAAATGAGATATTTGGACTCTTAGATAATTGTGCAACTGATATTTTTATTTACTTTTTTTCTTTCATCCAATAATTGCGTTACATTAAAAATGAGATATTTGGATTAATATTCTTCTCCTTGACCACAAAGCAAGGAAAGCCTAAGGACCGATAGTAAAGTTGTATTCGTGTGGTTGCGTGTTAGTTTTGAGCGGCAAAATAAATTATGTTAAGGTAAATTATTTTTGGAACAATAATAAAATTATTTCTGTATAATATATAAATCATATATTTGAACCGTAGAATTATCAGTTAATACTTGTATATGAGGAGGCTAACTACGTTAGAGCGCTAACGAGAATACTTCATATACCGTATTTTTTACGATAATAATAATGTAATGTGAAATTGCTATCCAAAAGGCACCTAATTTTGTCCACCGTTCAAAGGAAAGGACAAGGAAGTAGTAGCGTGTAGGTTTGGTGCTGTACAAAATAAGCAAGACACGTGTTGCCTTATTATAGGATAATCCATAAGGCAATTTCGTCTTAAGTCGGCCATTGCACCTTTAAAAGGAGCCTCTTTGTTCCCAAAATCTTCATCCTTTGATTTCTCTATTCTCAATATCTCCTCAATTTTTCTCTAGTCTTCAAACACTTCTCAAGGTACATTAACTTCTTCTTTCTTTTTGTTCCTCTTATTTTATGCTACTTTTATTTAATTTCGATCTATATTTTTAGGATCTAAATACTCATTTTTGATTTGTTTAATCGCTCTGTATATATGCACCAAGTTGAAATTTTTGTAAGTTTATTTTGTTCGGTCTATATTTTAAGATCTGAAATACCCTTTACTGAGAAAAAAAAAACTCAACCTTGATTTTGTTGTACCTGGTTGAATTTGTTATTGTTGTGTATACAGTTAAAAAACTCAAGTCTTGATTTTATTGTTTCCCTTTTGTAGTTTGTATATACATAGAGCTGAATTGGTGTTCTAATTTTGGTTGATTTTTATGTATACAGTATAAAATCGATCTTAGTTTTGTTCATTGATTTGTATTTGCACAAAGTTGGAATTTTGCGTTTGTTATTTTGATGATTGAAACCTTTTCTGTATATACAGATGCAGATCTTCGTTAAAACCCTAACTGGAAAGACCATAACCCTTGAGGTTGAAAGCTCCGACACTATTGACAACGTTAAGGCTAAGATTCAGGACAAAGAAGGAATCCCACCGGACCAGCAAAGGCTGATCTTCGCCGGAAAGCAGCTCGAAGACGGCAGAACCCTAGCCGACTACAACATCCAAAAGGAATCGACCCTTCACTTGGTGCTCCGTCTTAGAGGAGGCATGCAAATCTTCGTCAAAACCCTAACCGGGAAAACAATCACCCTTGAAGTTGAAAGCTCCGACACTATTGATAACGTTAAGGCGAAAATCCAGGATAAAGAGGGAATCCCACCCGACCAGCAAAGGCTGATCTTTGCCGGAAAGCAACTTGAAGACGGCCGAACCCTCGCTGATTACAACATCCAGAAGGAGTCTACCCTTCACTTGGTTCTCCGTCTTCGCGGCGGGATGCAGATCTTTGTCAAAACCCTAACCGGGAAAACAATCACCCTTGAAGTTGAAAGCTCTGACACTATCGACAATGTTAAGGCTAAGATTCAGGACAAGGAAGGAATCCCACCAGATCAGCAGAGGTTGATATTTGCTGGTAAGCAGTTGGAAGATGGCCGAACCCTAGCTGATTACAACATCCAGAAGGAATCAACTCTTCACTTGGTGCTCCGTCTTCGCGGCGGCATGCAAATCTTCGTCAAAACCCTAACCGGGAAAACAATCACCCTTGAAGTTGAAAGCTCTGACACTATTGACAATGTTAAGGCTAAGATTCAGGACAAGGAAGGAATCCCACCAGATCAGCAGAGGTTGATATTTGCTGGTAAACAGTTGGAAGATGGCCGAACCCTCGCTGATTACAACATCCAGAAGGAGTCGACTTTGCACCTTGTGCTTCGTCTTCGTGGTGGGATGCAGATTTTTGTGAAGACGTTAACCGGGAAAACCATCACTTTGGAGGTGGAAAGTTCTGATACTATTGACAATGTGAAAGCTAAGATTCAGGACAAGGAGGGTATCCCCCGGATCAGCAGAGGCTGATCTTTGCGGGAAAGCAATTGGAAGATGGACGAACCCTCGCTGATTACAACATTCAGAAGGAGTCCACCCTGCACCTTGTCCTCCGTCTCCGTGGTGGTTTCTAAAGTGTCTGTCAGTGCCTGTGTCTGTGTCTGGGGTCTGTTTGGTTCATGATTTAGAATTTGTGTAGTTTCTGTTAGTTGTCATCATGTTATGTTTCCAAAAGAGGCGAGGAGGCTTGTTCCCTCTTGTCTCTGTTTGTGAATAATAAAGTTTAATTATTGTTTAAATGTTGGTCTTGAACTCCTTTTTACTGTGCAATCAAATGGGAAGACTATCTCAAACTTTGGTCTTAAGCTGTTAGATATGATATCTTGTGTAGTAGTTACAAACTTGATATCTGCTATAGCGCATTTGATCTCAAACGTGATGATCCAAATGACAGACTATTCTTCTTTGGTAATTGCTTTGGCATAAAGCTTTGCTTCTTCCTGTCATGTGTTGGAGCCCCTCTCCTATAAGATTGTGTTGAGGTCAATGATATGTGGGGGTGCCAAAACGGCTCTGAGTTTTTAGCTCTGCGGTTTTGACTTTTTCACCTAAATTGCTCAATTTGCCTACTGGAGCAATGTTCAGGACAGCTGTGGGCAACACTTAACAACCTATACATCCATGTCTATATTTGTCTAAAAGTAGAGATGTTTCTTTTCTGGGATGTCCTACTAATAAATCTTGATGGCAATAGTACAAGTTACAATTCTATTAGAAGAAATGGCTTTACAAAGATCTATGTTATTAAAAGGGTCATATAATTGAAATAGCACTTCCCCCAAGTTTAGCATCCTCCTATATTTATCATCAAGCGGATTAGAAGTTTCGAATGTGTAACAAGCGCATAATTTCCACTTGAACGCCCATGGATAAAAAATATTGTGACATTTTCGTTCTTATTGGTTTGGAAGTTTCGGAATGTGGCCTAGTCAAATCGATTATTCTTTATGTAGCAAAATGGTTGATTTTATCAATTATAATCGAAAAGAAGACCGTAAAAAAAATTCACCGACAAAGAGTGTGTTCAATATATATTATACACCTCTAAAATTTAATATTTTATTTATATACGCAATGTAATTTTTCGACGCCTTTAAGGCATGCTTCGCCCTGTTTGAATACTAAAACGAAGAAAATTTTCCATTGTGTATTTTATGTAAAAAGAAAGTAAATCGGTGTGTTTTTGTATTCTTTTTGTAGCTTTCCTTTATATTAACTCGTACTATGTAATTCCTTTCTGAATTATCATGCATCCCCGGTATGGTTACCTCTGAGTCTGGTCTTTGTTATTTTTATGGTTGCTCATTTCATTTTTTGCCTTATTGTAACTTGCAACTAGTTACAACTTACAACAACAACATGCTCAGTATTATCCCACATCGTGAGGTCTGGGGAGGGTAGTGTGTACGCAAACCTTACCCCTACCTTGTGAGGATAGAGAGGTTGTTTTCAATATACCCTCGGCTCAGGAAAGCATAGCACCACATTAATGAAAAAATACACAAGAAGGGCCAAGCAGAATAGAAACAATAAGACACTAAGGTGATCAACAATGAAAGAAAACAACGGCTACTCATAAAAACATACTACTACCAATAGAAAGTGAGACTGGATGTCAATACTACTATTATGAACACTCTAGATTGCCTACTCTACTACCCTAATCCTCGACCTTTATACCTTCCTATCAAGGGTCGTGTCCTCGGTCAGCTGAAGTTGCACCATGACTTGCCTAATCACCTCTCCCCACCTCTTCTTTGGCCTACCTCTATCTCTCTGTAGGCCCTCAAATGTCAACCTCTCACACCTCCTCACCGGGGTGTTTGTGCTCCTCCTCTTCACATGACCAAACCACCTAAGCCGCGCTTCCCGCATCTTATCCTCAATAGGGGCCACACCCACCTTATCGCGGATAACCGCATTTCTGATCCTATCTAACCCGGTATGTCCGCACATCCATCTCAACATCATCATCTATGCTACCTTCATCTTCTGGACTTGCGCGATCTTAACTGGTCAACATTCAGCCCCATACAATATCGTAGGTCTGACCACCACTCTGTAGAACTTACCCTTAAGTTTCGGTAACAACTTCTTGTCACACAAAACACCGGAAGCTAGTCTTCATTTCATCCATCCTGCCCCAATACGATGTGTGACATCTTCATCAATCTCCCCGCCCCCTTTGAATAAAAGACCCAAGGTACTTAAAACTGTCTCTCCTAGGGATGACCTACGATTCCAGCCACACATTCCCTTCCCCTCCTTGAGCCTCGCCACTGAACTTATACTCCAAGTATTCTGTCTTGGTCATACTCAACTTGAAACCTTTAGATTCCAGGGTCTGACTCCATACCTCTAATTGCAACTAGTTAATTCCGCCATTAAATTTTATATTAAATTATATAGTATTTGATTAGTCATGAGAAAATAATAATTTTTGCGTAACAATGGAGCGTTTGATCGGTTGCATAACAAAGACATAATCTATCTTAAGGCCCCGTTTGTCCATAAACTTTTTCTCCTTTTTTTCAAAAAAAAAAATTCAAAAATATGTTTGTCCATGAAATTTGCAAGTTTTTTGAAATTTTTCGAAAATGAGTTTTTTAAAAATCAAAAAAGTGATTTTGACTACTTTTTCAAAATTTTCAGATTTTTTTTTCACTCACAAAAAAACAACATATTTTCAAGTGAAATGCATGTCCACACATAATTTCAAATTTCAAATACCATTTTCCAACTTAACTCCAAATACTACTTTCTTCTTTCAAAAATTATAATTTTTATGTATAAATGCCTACTAAGATTCATAACTAATTAGAGTCAGCGGCGTACGCATGATTTTTCATAAGCGGTGTCAGAATTTTAAATAGTAAACAAATAATAATTCACTATAACATCATATTAAAAAAATATAATTCGAATTATTTTATAGAACATAACTCAAGTATCTTACTAAATATGAATTTTTATTTTTTAAAATATATTTAATATAACCTCATTAGAAATAATACTAAATACCTTTATTATATATAGAACACCAAGTAATCACACAAAAACTCACCATTCATTGGATTATACAAATTTTTATAGATTCGAACTAGTGACATAGTCAAGAAAAACAAAGCGCCTAATCAGTTGCTACATGTCTATTGTTGTCGAGCGGTGTCACTTTATTAAATTATTTCTTTTTTCTGTTGGATTTTTATTATAAATACTTATTTAGTAAAATTTCCGTCCAAACGGTGTCACCGCTTGAGCTAAGGTAAATCCGCCTCTGATTAGAGCTTTTGGTGGCAACGTTAATATATTTAAATAATATAAATCAAGTAATTTTGTGCATAACAAAATTTTCATTATAAATTCTCCTGTAACAATTCTAATAATTCTAACAATTTTTGTAAAATATTTTTTATTTTCACTCGGCCGCATTGAAATTCGACTAATTTTGAATTCACGTCCGCCTAATGCCCATCAAAGGTGGAATCATTATTCCTCATTATAATTTTTTTCGTATCGATAGCTTGAATCCGAGATCTCTTGAATTTTATTCATCTCACCACAACCATAATTTTATCATTACCATTTACCATTGTATAAATAATTGCTAAATTATAATTCCGGCATATTTTTTCCTTTGGGTTTTTCAAATTTATAACTCCATTAATAATAAATAAAAATAAAAATAAACGAGGCCTAAGTATTTTTCGTCCTTAACCGACACAGCCCAAAACCCGAGAGCCTTTATATCTTACTTTTCCCATTGTAATCAACTATTCTACGTGCACTCTATTTGCTCAGACTTATCCGAATCTCTCCAAACCCTAGTTTTCGGATCAGGTAATCTCTAATTCCCAATTCTTTTGTAATCTTTATAATCTTCAGATCCGCTAAATTAACCTGTCTCCAGATTTTACATGTGATAAAAATCAGATTTTTATTTGGAAGTTGCTATCTTTCTGGGGATTTTATTTAACAGTTATTCGATTTATATAGCTTAGCAAATATTGTGTTATGGGTTATTCTCGTTTTTCATGTGATAAAATTCAGATTTTTTTGTGATAGTTGGTATCTTTTTGGGAATTTTATGTTACAGTTATTCGATTTATATGGCTTAGCAAGTATAGTGCTTTGGGTTTTTCTTTGTCCGCTGAATTAAACTGTATCTAGCTTTTACATGTGATAAAAATCAGATTTTTATCTGAAAATTTGTACTCCTCGTTTTTTGGGTATTTTATTTTGAAGTTACTTGATTTGCATAGATTAGCAAATAAGGTGTTTTGGGCTGTTCTTGCTTTTACATGTGATAAAAATTAGATTTTTATTTTGGAACTGGAATCTTGTTGGGAATTTCATTGAACTGTTACTCGAATTATATGGCTTAGCAAATATGGTGTTTTGGGTTCTTTTTTGGCCGCTGAATTAAATTGTCTCTCTAGTTTTTACATGTGATAAAAATTTGATCTTTATTTGAAAACATGTACTCCATTTTTCGGTATTTTATATAACAGTTACTCTATTTATATAGCTTAGAAAATAGAAAGTATGGATTTTTTTGGGAGTTTTACTCTATAGTTATTGGATTTATCACCTAACTAATCTTTTGTTTTTACTTGTGATAAAGATCAGATTTTTATTTGAAACTGATATCTCTTTGGGAAATTTATTTAACAGTTATTATATTTGTATAGCTTAGTATTGTGTTTTGGGTCTTTTTTGCTCAACCGTTTTCATGCCTTCGATTGTTGCCTTATGAAATGGTATAAGAATCAGATTGTTCCTCTGAAGAACTGTTACCCTGTTGGGGAATTTAGTCTACAGCTTTTTGTTCTATCACTTAGCTTGTTTTTTGATTTGGGTTAATTTGTTAGCCTAAGTTTGGTTATCTGATGTGGTTTCATGCCTTTGATTGTTACTTTAATCATGAAAGCTTATAAAAACCAGATTTTTCTTTGAATAACTATTATCTTGTCACTATCTTTCTTTACTGTTCTTCAATTTCTATGGCTTTATAGTTTATAGATCTTTTGTTTTGGCGTTTCATTTGTTTGCCTGATTTTGGTTATTTCCATGCCTTGCAATGTTATTTTTGCTGTGAAACCTTTTAAAAATCGGATTTTTCTTTGAAGAGCTGGTAACTTGTCGGGAATTTCATTAGTTCGGTTAGTTTAGTGAGCCCTATTTTGGTTATTCGACGTCGTTTCATGCCTGATATGTTTGTCTCTGTCATGAATCTTAGTGGTCGACAGTTTTTCCAGATTTGTTTATAATGAAGAATTCATCTTTTTATTTATTTATATAATCTGTATATTTTAAATAACAATCTCTTCTTTTGGATTGTTCTATTAGCTCAATGTTTTTACTTGATGTGGTTTCATGGCTTTGATTGTTGTATTCGTCATGAAATCTTGGTGTGAGATGGCTTTCCCAGACCTGTTAGTAATAAAGGATTCATCTTTCTTCTCTGTACGGGTTTTTTGGTATTTGTGCCATGGGTTTTCTTCATCTTTCTGTTTCCAGAACTATGTCTTCTGGCTTTTATTCTAGTTATTACCACTTTTTTCCCTTTTGCTTCTATTCTATCCAGCTATATGAGTGCAAGTTTGGTTGTATTTTAAGTCCTGTGTCACTTGTGATCATTACACATCAGATGAGATAATCTATCTTCGCATACTGCAAGTTTGTTTAGGTAGATGCTTTCGATATTCATGTTGGCATGTGTTGATATAATTGATGAATGACATATTTGCTTATGATTTCTGGTTGTATAATTGATGAACTTTTTCTCTACCCAGGTCTGAGCATCCAAGTTTTGTGATTTCAGCGCGCTTGTTGTCTTCCATTCTCTGAAAAGTTTCATGTCTGAGCTCGACCTCCAAGTTCCCACTGCTTTTGGTATGCAACTCATTTGATATAACATTATTTTTGGTGTTTCTATCATACTTCTAATTCTGTTTCATTTTCTTTTAGAAGCTTGCAACGGGCAATTTATTTTATGTTGTATTTTGATGGATTAGATGCGAAGGGCACATGAAAAAAATTATCTTGCTGGTTATTTATGATATATAATTGAGCTATATGGTTGCTTTGATTTCATCCTTAGATCCCTTTGCTGAGGCAAATGCTGACAATTCTGGAGCTGGGTCAAAAGATTATGTACACATTCGCATACAGCAAAGGAATGGTCGGAAAAGCCTGACAACTGTTCAAGGGTTGAAGAAAGAATTCAGCTACAATAAAATACTGAAGGACCTAAAAAAAGAGTTTTGCTGCAATGGTACTGTTGTCCAGGATCCAGAACTAGGCCAGGTTTGTGTTAGGGAGATTGTTATCTGTCTGTTAAATGTCTTACAACATCATGGTCATTTTTGAGTGTTGTGACTAATATGCCGGTGATTATTGTTTTTGAAGGTTATTCAACTCCAGGGTGATCAGAGGAAGAACGTTTCTGCATTTCTTGTCCAGGTGATTGCTCTTTACGTCAGCCAATAACTCTCTCTTGTTCATTTTAAGTATATGCTGCCATCATGAAGATGTGTGCTAAATACGTTATCCTTGAATTCACTATCAATATCAAAAAATCTTCAATCATTGTACTGATTCAGCATAGTTAGTTCTTCCTTAAATTTTCAACTGTAGCGAGTGGCTATTTTAGTTCACTAACGACATAATTCTCTTTTAGTCGTGCTATTTTTGTTGGTATTATTTGCTGAAAATCTCTCCCAGAATAGAGAAAACAAGCAACGAGGGAATTGTAGACACAACTAAGTTCTTTAAGCTTGACTGAACTGTCATGTTGTGATATTTAGTTTTGGTGGATGTAGTTTTAATGTTTTATCATTGCTAATTTCTTCTCCTTTAACATTTGGAAACAGGCTGAAATCGTGAAGAAAGAGCACATCAAAATTCATGGTTTCTGATTGCCATCATCACTCATCGTGCAGTTATCATATTTGTCGTGCCAGTGCAGGAAATGCTATCCAAACTTAGTGATAATAAAGTTTCCTAGTGTGTTTTAATCAAAAATTGCTAGTGTTGGTTTTCTGCTGGTTTGATATAAATGCTGTGTTTCCCCTCGACTTTCTGCCTCGTAGTTATGGATTCTGTTATATTTTCCAGCACAAACATTGTGCATGCGAATACAATTAATGGCTTTATCATTTTTCAGATGTTGTTATGTATGCTTTGTGTTTTTGTGCATCCCTACCAGATTTAGTGTAGAGTTCCGTGGGGTTCTTTTTACAGATGAGGTACGATTTGTTTGTTTTTATTTCATAATATTTGTTCATTTCTCTCAGTCTAGTCTTACGAGGAGAAAAACGCATGATTGGTGTATTGGGTATTTACATTAGTGTTCCGATTAATTTATCATATGTGGCCCATTAAAGAGGAGATAATTTCTCGCTAATAAGATTTTTTTTCATTCCTAAAGTTGGAAATTTATCTCCTTAATAAGGGTGAAGGATTCTATTCTTTGATGGTAAACAACAGACGATTCATTGTGTTATGATTAATACTGCACTTACTACATCAATCACACTTTAGTTTGATCTTGTCAGATGTAAAATTGATAACCTGTCTGGCCAAGTTTTTTTTTGGGCTAAAATTCTTTTTTTTATCCCCAAAAGTGTTTTTGGCAAAAAATTGAGGTGTTTGGCCAAGTTTTTAGAAGAAAAAAAAAGTGATTTTGAGGAGGAACAGAAACAAATTTTGAGAAGCAGAAAAATGTAGCTTTTCTTCAAAAATATATTTTTGAGAAATAATTTTGAAAAAAATATACTTAGAATAATTTTTAAAAGTTTGGTCAAACACTAATTATTGCTTAAAAAATATTTTTAAATTAAATAGTCAAATACAAAATGATTCTCACAAAAAATACTTTTTTGAAAAGTATTTTTAAAAAAAATACTTCTCAAAAGAAGCAGATTTTAGAAGGCCAAACAAACTATTAAAGTAAATTTGTCACCTTAATGCAGCATGTCCTAGCGAGGCAAATGGTGAATGATTTTTGTACGTACTACGAGCTAAGTGACATTTGACCATAAGGAGAGAAAGAATCGAATTCTGTTGTTCGTTTTCGTTTTGTATGTATCATATTTACGTCCACACGTTTTTTCTAGATGTTTTATTTTAAAAATATAGAGTATTTCTCGATTTGTGTGTATCATTCTTGCACATAAGGGTCATTCTAAATTATTTTGTATCATCCTACATTTATTGGATTTCTCGGAAGGTACACTTGAATTCAGAGACGAAGTTAAGATTTAAAGTGTATGAATTCTAAATTTTAAGATAAGATTGTGACCTAAAACTAGTTTTTATTTCTTAGTTAGTTAGATTTTCAAAGAAAAAGTAAAAAAAACGAAAGTTTGGAACTTAAATGTTTCTTTTTGACTTTTGGAATTTTCTTTGTTTTAATTCTTAGTTTAGGTTTTTGTTTTTTAAAGAAAAAGTAACAGAAAAACGCGCTGCTTTCAAAGGGAGTCGAACCCATGCATTTTCCCTGGAACCCAAAACCTTTGCCACTGAACCAAACCCTATTTGTTACTGGGTTCAGCGTAATTTATCTATATAGTTAATAAAAATATTTCAGCACAAATACAGGATCCGGAAAAAATCTCTGAATTCGCCCGAACCCGCCTATAGCTCCGACCCTGCTTACATCCATTCTCAAAGATGCTTTCTCTTGAAGTCTTTCATTCAATTTACTGTTAGATTACCTAAAGTCTAACTATAAATACTTAAAAAGGAACATACGGCACGAATAAATTAATAATGTTGACAAGATTATAAGTAAAAAATAATTAAAAATAAAATAAGAAAACATTCTTTACATTGTGAAGATATATAGCTTAAGGGGTCATTTGGTTGTGGTACTGAAAATATCATAAATCTCGCATAAGATAATAAAGTGCTTGATTTGTTGTTAAAGGAGAAAAAGAAATGCCGCATAAGTCATAACTAATGCAACGTTGGTTGACGATGTTAACAAATACAGTATATGTATTACGTTATGGATTTTTTTTTATGCTGGATAGAATGTGAAATAAGAATTATATATTAACAGGCGTGGGGATTAAATTATGTAAAAACAAATGTAATTTCCCAAGAATGACCTTTAGAAAAAAGAGGGGTAAAATACAAAATTGTTTGGCAGTCAAATCTAATTATATTTGTTAGCAAAAGTTGTATAAAATATATATTATATGTGTATAATAATACTTATATATAAAAAAAATATATTTTGTCTATTGTTATTTTTGAGAGCGATTAAAAATATAAAGGAGAGCCACCACATTCTGATAAAAAATGAACTTCAAATTGGACCCGAGATCTTATTCATCATTTCGGTTCATCCACCGTCTGACGATCGTCTCCAGAATTGCTTTTTTCCGTCTCTTTCTCCGGTGACCGCCGGCGATCCCTTTCTCAGGTAGGTTCCCTCTCCTCCTCATCCTCCTCTCTCTCTCTCTCTCTCTCTCTCTCTCTCTCTCTCTCTCTCTCTCCTATATCCCCTTTTCCATTGCTCTTACTACATAAACCCTAATCCCATTGTTAATCACGTTAATGTGTCGAATACGACTGTAATTCGGTTGCAGTACTTTTCCTCTGCGTAAATAGATTGAAATCTAATTTTTAGTCTTCGTTGTAAGTTTGATTTGATTTCAGTGCAAACTTAAACTCATAATGGAGAACATGTTTTTTCTCGTAGCTCACTTATCATGCCTTGTGTATTGCATTAATAGACAGGATACTGCACTAAGTATTGAAAAATGGAGGACATGTTGGTGGCGATTCTGTCGATGCTTCTGGTTCTAGCATTAGTTCCGCTTTATCTGTGGAAGCGCCGCCAAAATTCTGAGTCTTCGGGAGAACATGAAGATGAAGCTCAGGTTGACTTGCTTTTCCTTTTGGTCGCTATTTTCTTGCTTCTTGTCTTCTGTTACAAACTTGGGGATTAAGAGGATTATACTTGTAAGTTCTCTGGTACAAAGTGACGGGGAGAGGGGATTGATTCTTTGACCTTCCTAACTAAAGCGTGATCTGCGGGTGGGTATGACACTGTTGTCAGGGTTTGAGAATATTATGAACTGATCTTAGGACTAAAATTTTGGTATAAGCAGATAATCAATTGTCCTTGTCCCATTTCATATAAAAATATTTGACTGGATATGAGTTTAAGATGTTAAATGAATATATTGATGACAGTGGGAGAAACAATTAGATTAATGGTTATAAGTTAGTTTGATAAACAAAATATCACATCATGTATAAAATTTGAACACCTCAAAAGGTAGAGGTAAGGTCTGCTTACACACTGCCCTCCCCAGACCCCACAATGTGGGATAATACTGGGTATGTTGTTGTATAAAATTTGAACAGTTTTTGAATTCTTGAAAGTGTGAAAGTCGTAAAGAGATGGAATTATGTTGAACATCTTGGGAATTGGGATATCCTGAAATGGGGAAAGTGTCATATAAATCGGGACGGAGGGACTAATAGACATTTAGATGTCAGCATAATACACTCATTAAGGTGACACTACATGAGGGACTTGTAAAAGGTGCCTCGGTGTTGTTCAAGCGTCATCGAATTTAGAGAAATAAGAAATTAACACATGCTGCAAATTTAGCAAGAACTGAAATCATTACTGGCTAAATATCAGGTTGAGCAGAGGGAAGCTGTAATAAGAGCCACTGCTACGCGTCGAATGCGTCGAAGACCAGCTTCTTCAGCTGCTAGCACATCTTCGGCTGCAGCCACTATAGATGGTATTCTGCTAGATCTCTTGCTTTATAGGAACCGTTTGATTAATTTTCTTCTGGTAATGTCTATTTATATATTTTTTCCATATCTGTTTAGCTTGTTTATATTTTTAAAATCTAAAGATAAAGTATCATTTTTTTATGTGATGTTTTTCTAGTAATTATCATGTTCATATGGTTTCAACTTTCAAGTTGAAAGGTAAAAAGAAATAGGCAACTGTTTCTCACCTTTGAGCCCCTTTTTCAAAGTAGAATGCAAGATAAGACTACAGGAGGAGTCACTTCCATTCATTGAACATGAGCCTAAATAGCTGCGGCTTATTGGATTGGCTATAAGTTTGTTGCCTTATGTTCATCCCCATTGTGGTAACTTCATATGTAAATTAATGAGTCGAACGAGAAGTAAAGGGCTACCATTCGTGGACAAGGACATGATTATTGTTACTTTTCCTTGTTACTAAGATGTATTTATCTTAATGACCTTTAGGTGGCCTAGTTCTTCCTGATTATTGTCTCCTAACTGCTGCGCCCATGCTTTAGGTGCACTTGGTCAAGTTGATGCTACTTGGTGACTGATTCATGTTTATTTATTTATTTTTTTTTAATTTTCAAATATCTGCAGATCTGGGTGATGACAGTGATGATGAAGCTGCTGGAGATGGATATTATACTGCAAAATCATCAAAGAAAAAGGAAAAGAAACGTCAAGAGCGGGAAGCACAAAGACAGGTACCTCAAACTTTTAAGCATTTGCCTACATCCTTGCAAAAGTTAATCGTTCTGAACTTTATTACATAGCAAAATTCTCATAATCTTAACAAGTACAATTTGTTAGTAACAAGCTTGATGCTTGTGATTCGTATGCTCCCCTTTGAGAGGGGGTGTACTGATTGTAATTATTGCAACATATATCAAGCATAGGATAGAAAAATGTCCAAACGATGGGATTAGCTATTATCAGAAATATGTCAGCAATGTATAGTATGAGCATACAAGTGTTTAATGACATTTCTATGCTTATCAAACCTTTAGTTTTTCTCTAGTTTATTTTCTTAATTGAGGCCGGAATAAATTATATAGACACCTAATAATCATGGGAGGCCAAAACTTGGGACAAATTTTTGTCGACCCAAGGAGAGTTCACATGGGAATAGAGGAGGTAAAAAAGTAATGTTCATCTAGCACCCTATTTTGCTATAATAGGTCTGCAAAGCAATCTAGTTATATTAGGATTTTTTTTTACTGCAGTAAGTGGAATATTATTAACAAAAGCATCAAGAAGATGCATAGATTACATAAGAGAGAAGTTATCAGCCCAAAAATGACAAAAAACCCTATCATAGAGCTAAGGAGCTGATAAATTCCATGTCAAGACTAAATACAGGGGTTTGGTTAACCCAACAAAAAAGATTAACCAAACATCTGGCCGTGAGTGTATGGTTGGCAGTTGAAATGCCATCAAAGCATCTTTTATTCCATTCTGCCCATATGTACCACAAAATACAAGCAAGAATGAAAGTCCAGATCCTTTTGATGGACTTCCCAACTTTCTATGAGCTCCAGCTCACAAAGGCCTCTCTGACATTGCATGGCATAGACCAATGCAGTCCAAAAAGTGATAAAAACATGTTAATGTCTGCTGAAACTGAGCAATGAAGGAACAAGCGATTTATTGATTCTGAAATTATATTAGGATTTAGTTTCTTATTCTTGTTTCCTCTTTAGTTTGTCAATTATTAGGTGTTTGTCCCCTGATTGTTGGAGGACCTTTTGTTTTTAATAATGCAAAATTAATTTCAGAATTCTCTTTTGGTTTTGGCTAGTTCCTTGGTTAAAGAGAACTAGGAATGCTGGTTTGCATAGGATATGAGTTCTTTGCGTCCTTTTTTGTTATAAATACTGCTAACTACAACATTGTATGCTGAACATCTTTAGGCAATTATAGCATCTTGATCGGTTGTTACTAACTACCTTCAGGATTCAGCCTGAATCGATAAGTAAAACCGAAAATAAACCCTTAACCTTCAGGATTCAGCCTGAATCGATAAGTAAAACCGAAAATAAACCCTTCATCTCAAAATGATAGAAAAGAAAGAGTGTTAGGTTTTCTCCTAGGGCTTTGGTCTAGTAGTAAGAGCGCAACAAGTGATGTGTGGATTAGGCGTATTACACAGACAAAAGGCAGGTAAAGTGGAGAACGGTTTTTTTTTTTTTT